GATGATCAGAAGTTTCCACACTTTATTTAGAGAGACATAAATTGTGGCAGTGTCCCAAAATTTTCCATGCTTGATAATGTAGGCAATTCAAATACTTAGTAAAATGGGAATCTGCTTTGCAAACTTGGAAAACTCCACACTTGTGTAAAAGGAGCAATTACTGGATTCTAATTTTTTCCCTACTAGTTTTACACAAACCTTTGTGGCTTGATGGCATTTATTTAATATGATGGGGAGAGGGGGAGTATCAGGTTCCGGGTTATATACCTGAGTTTACTGTCTTGGTTTCAAATTACAGGAAAGAATTGAATATTGAATTGTGACTTGGGTAGAAATCCACAGGATCCATCGGTAATGAATGACAGTTGCATGAAGATTATATGCCAGCTGTTAAGAAAAAACCAAGTGGGAAGCTATATGATCTATTGGAAAATATGTGAGACATGCCTAGTCTCTGAAGAAGAGATATGGACAGACTACATCAACCCTGCAAACAGATGCAAAATTAATTAGAATAGATTTGGCAGAAAGCCATAATCAGAATGGTAGGGAAAAAAAACAATCTTAGGAGAGAAGGAGAAAAGCCATCTAGAACTGTATGCATATTAGATCTAGTTGATTTTGCAGATAATGACTAGCAATAAAAATCTACATAAATTATCCAACTTAGCCTTTGTATGTATAGAGTTCCTGATTTAGTTGGATTCAAAGACCCAGTCAAGGACCCATGTTTGCAGCCTCTGAATTCTCAACAGTCCAACTTTGCATTGTGTCTTTTTTGCCCATGAATAGCCTGTGCTCACAACAGACTTGATGGATCTAGTCATGACTGAATATGTAACATGTCACCAACAATACTATGTAAACAGCTGTTTAACTTTATAGTTAGTTTGTGGTAAATTGGCATTCTACATAGGTAATGAAGTTAGAACTACAGCTGCAGTTGGGAAGAAGATGGGAATCATAAGCCAATTTATTCAGGAAGCGAGCTCTGGCCTGTACTAAGGTCACATATAGTGGTCTAACTTCACATATACTATTAAGTGTTTCAATAGCTAATGACTGCTTTGTATGTAATATCTTGGATTAAACTATTTCTATTCTAGCCCAATACTTTCCCATGCTTCATCTGATTTATATATTTGTTTTATGTTGCCTTGTATTATATTGCTAGTTGGATAACTAATAAATAATAACTTATTATACCACATATGATAAAAGAAGGGGCTAGAAAATTACATGAGCATTGAAAACCAAGACATACTTTTTTTTTTGAGTCATTATAGTCTTTTGAGTGGTACATGAGGGGAGAGGCAAGTATACTCTAAAAAAATGTGTGTTGGGTGGAGAAAGAAGCAACAAATAGCACTCATATGTTACTAAAGTTAAAATAACCCATCAGCAATATATTCGATCAATTTCTTATATTGCCCCATTAAAACTGTGATTTGGTGGCAGCTAATGGAGCCCTCTGGGAGCCACACCTATGACTTTTAGGAAACACATAAGGCAGAGTGTGCACCTGTGTTAAAAGCTGAAGGTGTTCAGTGGGTGAATTGGGTGCCCTGTTTTTCAATTCTGCCTTGGTAGAAAATAAAAAAGACTCCTTACTCCATAACAAAAGCACAGCTGAGAATGCTAAACATATTTATCTTCAGTTGTAGAACAGAAATATTAAAAGAGACACTTCTGCAGACCTGATATTTTTATTAAGTTTACAGAGATATGAGAATCTGGCTAGAGAATTCTGGAAGTTAAAGTCACGTTAGTAAGATTGAGAAATATAAAAATAGAGAATCCCAGGCACTAATAGTTAAATGCAGAACTGAAACCCTTAATGTGTATGCAGGCATCAAGTTGCCTTCTAAAGTGTATGAATAATACAGATAAAATATTATTTGAGGACAGACAGGATTGTTTTTACCAATCACTCTCTTTCTACAAGTTGGTGAAGACTGCCCCATAGTGAAAATTATAAGGAATAACTATCCTGCTATCATCTGTTTTTAGGGGGGGAAATGGATTGGCTTTGTTTGTGGACAGACTGCACATTCAGTCAATAAAGACTGCTCTCACAGAAACGATTTATATTATTTTCAAATTGTTTTGATAGAAAAGATGTTTACAAATAATTTGCTGCCTCAAAATCTCTTTGCTATTGAACTATTTTCTAAGCAATGCTCAGTCATGCCACCCAGTGGCACCTGTATGAATATTCTTGTGAGAAAATATGTACAGATATACATCTATTTACCAGTTTAGTGTAACTAAAGCAGCTAGGACATATTGCAATTCTAAACAACTGAGAACTTTTGTAAACCTATAAATAAAATGAGCATGTTGATTAAAATAAAACAAGAAGTCCCTTTAGGCATCACCAGTAGGAGGAAGGTTGCACCACAATTCTAATCTGATCTTGTTGCTGCAAAAAGCACATGCTGGCACAGATAGTGGCCAAAAGAAAGTCCATGAATTATAATTTTATTCAGGGCACTTGTGATATATCACAAATATTATGCTGTTGAATTGGGCATCCCTGCCTAACAGCTTCCCTATCTGAGCTGATGAAACTGGAGAGGGAACTTGTAACCTTACAATAAAGGTAGTATAGGCACAATAGTCTCCCTTTTTCTCAGTTGAATAGATGGGCTGTAATCTAAAGGTAGGGAGAGAGTAGAAGGAAGAGAAGAAATTACTTTTATTCTGGACAATGGAAAACATCCTTCCAGACCACATTATCTGGAACAATATGTACAAAACATCTTGAAATTGTTCATATCTGGAGGATTTACTTTTGAAAAAAACTGTCCTCCAAAGTTTATTTTTATTTATTATTAAATTTACTTGGCACCTATCATGCTGAGGGGCTACTCTAGGTGACTTACAACAATAAAAAGAAAAGAGTGTTATCAAAACAGAAGTAAAATAATAGAAAAATAAAACAATGCAAAAGAAAACAAGAATATATCAATATGATAACAAAAAGATGGGTGGATGGGTGGAGAACTGGAGGGGGATGTGGAGTTTACCTTCAGTCGAGTAGCCACTTCCAGCGTGGAAATCCCCGACTTGGTCCCATAAGTGAAATTGTCCAGAAGGAAATACAGCTTAGTCTGTAGACAAATGGAATTTTCTCCAGTTCTTTGGAATATTTTATCAATTTATCAATTAATTTTGCACATCTCTATCCTGGCAATTTATAGAATACAGTGCAGAGAGGCATCATATGATTGATATGCTGATGCCTAAGCATCCACTCCTTCTATGCTGTGGTCAATGCAGTTCTTTCATATAAATCTAAGTTAATTAAAATACATGGAATAAAAAATATTAAGAATATGGGTAAAGGTCATCTCTTCCTACTCTGAATGAACAAAATTTAGAGCCAATTATTGAGACTACTCTGTGCTCAAGCTTTCTTTTCCCATTGCATATCAACTTCATTCTACCTCCACCAGAAATTTGGAGAATTGTTGTTATAACAATTGTGCTGTTATTTCTTACTTGCCTTTTAATTATACAGTAAATGGCTGTAGTCCTAGTTGCAACCCTTTTTATTTGGAATAACACTTCATTCCTTCTATATTCATTCCTATTAATTCAACATTAGTGAACCAAACTTCTTTTAGTCTCACGTTTTAACACTGCAAGTATCTCTGAGCTTACTGTATATCCTTATACTGTTCTTATTCTAGGGTCATGAATCTTTGGGTAGTTGCAAGTGAATTTGGGAGGGGAGAATCAGAGATTTTGTAGAAAGTTGGAACTTAGCCAGTCTATGATGTTGAGGGATGCGGTGGCTCAGTGGCTAAGATGCTGAGCTTGTCGATCGAAAGGTCCGCAGTTCAGCTGTTTGAATCCCTAGTGTGGCATAATGGGGGAGCTCCCATTACTTGTCCCAGCTTCTGCCAACCTAGCAGTTCGAAAGCATGTAAAAAATACAAGTAGAAAAATAGGGACCACCTTTGGTGGGAAGTGTTCCGTGCGCCTTTGCCATTTAGTCATGCCGGCCACATGACCATGGAGACGTCTTTGGACAGCACTGCCTCTTCGGCTTTGAAACGGAGATGAGCATTGCCCCCTAGAGTTGGGAACGACTAGCACATATGTGTGAGGGGAACCTTTACTGTTACCTTTTATGACATTGAAATTCAGCCAGAATCCATAAAACTGGAGTCAAGCCATATTTTGCTGCCACTCAATGCTTGCAGTCTGGCTGTCCATTTTGTTCTCCTGCCAATTATTTTATTGTTTGCTGGCATCTGTCCAGCATACAGCTATATTTCCAAGATCTCGCAAGCTCACTGTTGACTGTATTGTTCACCCATCCAGCCTACTCTCATCTTTTTCCTTCACTCAAACGTCTTTTTTTCTCCTCAACTGGCAAAACAACTGCCAAGGAGCCCAGACTGCTAGCAATCCATGCCATTAACTATTTGTTAGCACCAACTTGGTGCAATAAAATCTAAAATAACCCCAAACCCTTTCCATCTATGTGTAATGGTTGTGGGAAAGATCTTGGGAGATGGAGCAGAGAGACACGGCCAAGGGAACGATCAAGATTAGAAGATGGCATAGGCCACATTTTGCGAGGCAAGAAGTTCAAGATCCTCACTAGTTTCTTGGGCTGCAAAGAAAAGGGGAGAAGGGAGTTGCTTTCAAGATTCTGTCAATTGTAGCTTTGCAAAAAAGTAGACTTAACTCCTGGTCTCTGTAATAAATTGAATTGAATTGAATTAACTCCTGATTGTGATTCCTATCTGGTTTACCCCACCAGGCCAACATCAGTCTTGCAGATCTTAAAGCACAATACTTTTATATTGCCTATAGCATTAGGAGTTGGACTGTAGGAACGTGCAAATCATGTAAATTGATTCCAACAGATAACCCAGAATTTTAAACACATGGAATATTCCTAAAAACAGGCTTCACTTTAATGAAGCTAGAAGGTCTCCACCCACTTTAGAGCAGCTAAAAATCATCACTGGATTACAGGAAACCAGAGACAATAATATCCCAAGTTTATTATTCAGGTTAATAAGATTGCATTCTATGTATTGTCATTTCCAATAAAGAGGAGAGATCATCATCTTTGGATTGCACTTCAAAGTCCAGTAACTAAAAGAAATATTGTCCATTTTCAAGGCATGGACTATGTTGAACAAAAAGAAACAGAAGAAAATAAAACAAATATGTAGCATGGCAGAATTATGTGCATTACTTGTAAATAATTCTCATGATGATACTCTATTTGCCTTTTTTACAGGAAAATTATGTTTAAATTCCTGCTATAACATAATGTTTCATAACATCTTTCTATGATCCACTGTTATCTTGAATCAGAAACACCATCAGAATGTGGCAATTTTGCTTTCAAGAGTATATTTTAAAAGAAAGATTACAAATTATCAAAGTCTGATACATTCAACTACTGAGGGTGAGATAAAGAAATTCTAACAGTTTCACCATATGTTGCTTGATAGAAGTTTAGAGTATGCAAATCATACAAGTCAATTGCAGTTTATGAAATTTCCAATTGCTTTCTCATATGTTACCCAAGTCCCAAACAATTTATAATAAGAACAGAGATATGAAACTTATATATAGAGTATTTACATGAAAAACAGCTTCACTGTAAAATACAGACTATTTTTGCTTTGCTGCTCATTTTCCTGAGAATACACAATTAGCAAAAAATTAACTGATTTAAACCAACCAGGGGTAACATTCATTTCATCCAAGTAAAGCAAATCACATCCACATTTAAAGGTATTACAAATTCACTTACTTTTCTATACAAATCTCCTCTGCTATTTGGTGGAAAACTACATCCTTGTTTTTCCAATTCTGAACAGAATAGTTTTTTCAGTAAAAATAAAGGCATTTTTCATCACAACTCACATAATATGCTGTGTAATTTATCAATTGGACATTACTATCACTTAATTTGGTTTGATAAAAGCATGATGTCTTAGAAATGGCAACATACCGAATATGAAAAATTATAACTTCACATCATACATATCATTGTGGGGTAATTGTCAACATTTCATATTCCCTGGAAAAGCAAGGTTTCCATCATAAATTACATAACCCTTCATCAAGTAAGAAAATCATCTAATTAAGAGAATGTGACAGTGAAAGAATGACTAGGGTAAAAAAACAATAAAATGTATTATACAAAACAATGGCAAAATATGATACATAACTAGAACTGCAGGCTGACCTTAATCAACAAGTAGAAATGTGCATAGCTTGCCGCTCATATTACATTCACTGTCATCACTATCAATCTGTCAAACAAGGCTGCCATGATGGGCAAGCTAACAAAAGGAGTTAAGCATGTAGAGGACAACACATTGCCTGATCAGGTCATTATTACTCTAAATTCTGCATAGATATGCTTTGGTGTTGTCTTAAATGAGGAAGCCTCAAAAGTAGTCCAGAGGCCATTCTAATAGAAGTGAGAAAATCCCACTGGTAGGATGGCACTTATGCTGATGGATTTCCACAAATCAGTTTTGCTCCAAAATGTCTCCCATTAGTGGTGCTCTTACAGAAGAAAATACGGGACGCTGGAGGTGTGCTGAAAATCCGATGAATTCCCCCCACTCCAAAGTCCTTATGTAAGACAATCCCTAAGCTAGTGTAGTTAATTCCCTCTCATGCCTCAAAGCCAGGGTGGGCTGGGGTGGGGAGGCGGGGGAAAGCAAGTTGGAAGGGAGATAAAGAAAGGTATTTTCAGATACCTATTCTGGCCACTAAAAGTTAAGGACTCAACATTAGTCCTTTTTTCCACCTTCAAGCTCCACCATTATACTATTAATTTCCTTTCTTAGTTTGGTTGCAAGTAGTGAAGTAAACAAAGTAACTAGTCAGTTCTTCCCTTTGGATTTCACTTGGTGAGTAAAAGAAAAGAAAATTAAAAGATATTCCCAAACTTCAGCTTGAAATGGTGCTAATTGTCTATAATACAAAAATTGGAAAATAATTTCATCATTTTTTTTTCTCTTAAAACAAAAGAATTATTTTTGAAGAAATATTTACAAGCGGGAAATTTTCCAAGTTAGAATATTAACAAAGTGCCTCCTAATTGCAGTATTGTAAAGTGCCTCCTAATTGCAGTATTGTACATTCGATTCAGGAAGATCTACTTTCCTTTTTTCTTTTTTAACATGGCCTTATGACTTTAAAAAAAAACTACTTCTAAAAGAGCATGGGTATATAAATGTGTGAAAGAAGAAAAACATATTTCATGTACCAATTGTTAACAAAATTACATGATAAGACCCTTGGCAATATAGAAATAAGACTATTTCTATAATGAATTCTAAACTCACTACTTTGTATATTGAATATAAAAGCAAAATATAAATGCTTAAAAAGAGAAATAATACAAAAAGTTTCTGAATTTCCTGAGTTATCCAATCATTGCATTTGATTAGATGGCAAAATATAATATTCTACAATAATTCTATTGACTTAAATGCTGGTATGTATAAATGACAGCATTTGTGCCTAGTTAATCATAGAATATTCCAAATTTTATAGACTAGCAATTTTTTACCCAAGCTTCTTGGAGGAAGAGGATCAGGTAGCAATAGCAATAGCATTTAGACTTATATACCGCTTCACAGTGCTTTACAGCCCTCTCTAAGCGGTTTACAGAGTCAGCATATATCCCCCAACAATCTGGGTCCTCATTTTACCCACCTCGGAAGGATGGAAGGCTGAGTCAACCTTGACCCTGGTGAGATTTGAACTGCCAAATTGCAGGCAACCAGCAGGCAGCAGAAGTAGCATGCGGTACTGCATTCTAACCACTGAGCCACCACGGCTACATTCAGAAACCAACTTTAGTTTTCTAATCCCAGAACTTCAAGTTTTCTTTGAAATTTCTAATTAATAGTTCCTAATAGTTTACATCCTAAAAATGCCAGAATGCTGCAAGTTTGTTTTAATTACATTCATATAGATGGCCCAGCCTATACAGAATGTTAAAGGTTTCCCACCATTATGGACTGTTTATCAACCCCTTAATCTCATTTTGTTCTAAATTTAGCCAGATCTGATAGTGCTAGACAAACCATAAAATATAGGCTTCTAATATGAAAAGTGTGGAAATTGCAATGATAAGGTTTTCAAAGTTCTGTCCAATCCAAAGTATATCAGTTTGAGACTTAAAGCACTTCTGCACTATATGATGTTAAGTATATACTTCCAGTCCTAGAATCCAGGGGCATTTGGTTATTAGCACTGGAAAGGACTAGACTCAATTATGGCACAGGGCAGAGTATCAGAATTAACTCTTTTTCCCCTGGTGTTTCTGGGGTAGCATTAAAATACCGCTCCAGGACAGAAGAAGTTAATGCTATTAAGAGGTGATATATCATCCCTGTAAGTAGAATGGAGTTGGTTCATTGCTACAGCTCCCCTAATAGATACAGCCTGTTGTTTCAAAATTCAATGATGAATTTGGCAAAGGAAGGGAGAACAACAGATGTAGTTGTGATACAAATCCTTACAAGACAGATTCTAATTTGAATGGGATGTGTATCTTGGATATCTCGGTTGAGTTTTATAGTTGCAGGTATATATCACTGTGTTGGAATAAATGCTCCAGCAAGTTCTAAATGTCTAACCAAATGGCACTAAACTCCTCAGATTGGAACCACTGCCATATTTGGCCTGTTATTCAGCAAATAAGCAAAATACAATATCTATTCTAAGGACCTTGCCATAAAGATAGGTGGAACCCAGCTAGATTATACAGCAACTTTGCATTTAAAACACAAAACAAGTATTTTTTTAAAACTGTATATTAAAAAAAAGAAGAAGCATGGAATTCTTTCCCATGTATGGAAAAAACAAAAACAGATACAGCTTTCTGAGGAAAAGAGCAATGTAGTACATTGATAGACAGAATCCCTGAATATGCAAAGCAATGTTGGGCTGAGATCAGACCACTTCATCTGACTCTAGTCCATGTTCTTCATACAATGCATCCAAGATGTTGAGCTGCTTTTCCATGGCTGGTAGGTAAACATTAAGGTCCCGCTGCATTCCATGATAAAAAGCTTCTTCTTGATTTTCACATTCTGCAAGCGACAATGCAGCCACAAAGCCTTCATAGGTGGGAGATGCTCTTAGAGCTAGCTGCAAGGAAAAGGGGGAAAAAGGAAGTCAAGCATGGTATCTTCTAATTTCTACTTTATCATTTGCACTGGGTGATAATGATAAATGGAGAGAGAAATTATTTTAGATCTACATAACTAAAATAAATTATTTAAGAGTGGTATCAGCTCTATACAGAGATCAACCATCTGAAGCCCCAGGACCATATGTAGACCCAGATGCTCTCAACTGGCTGGAGCATCTGGAATGTCATCTAAAGCCTATTACCAAATGATACCATTTAAAGTAACACGGGGATGCAATTATTAAATACATCGGAAAGAGTGTGTATTTAAGAGTATATAGCAATCTATTACCCATCTAAGATGAACATTTATTTTGTAAGATATTCTTCCAACATTGCTTTTTTTTTTAATGGATCCATTCAGTTTATTCTGACACATAACTATTTGGATCAAAGCTTCAACCTCCAAAGCAGCATTCATCAACTTTGTCAACTTTAAGATATTTGGGAGTTGAAGTCCACACATCTTAAAGTTGGTAAGGTTGAGAAGCAATATCTCTGGCTCCATAGGATCCACCAGAACTGAGGATGGGACAAGACACAGCCTTAGACGTTATTCCCATGAAACCTTGCATTCAACATCAGACCTCTAAATTAGGTTGACCTATAATTGGTATAGGTGTATAGGTCAATTTGGTGTATAGATTGAAAGGTCAGCAGTTCAGTGGTTCGAATCTCTAGTGCTGCATAACATACTGAGCTCCTGTTACTTGTCCCAGCTTCTGCCAACCTAGCAGTTCGAAAGCACGTAAAAAATGCAAGTAGAAAAATAGGGGCCACCTTTGGTGGGAAGGTAACAGCATTCCATGCGCCTTTGGCATTTAGTCATGCTGGCCACATGACCATGGAGACGTCTTCGGACAGCGCTGGCTCTTTGGCTTTGAAACAGATGAGCACCGCCCCTTAGAGTCAGGAAAAACTAGCACATATGTGCGAGGGGAACCTTTACCTTTTCCTTTATACTTGGTGTAGTTGATATTTTCCTGACCAGAACCAATACAGGAGAAAAAAGAGCGACTATTGATGTGTCAACAGAAATATTTCCTATTTGTCTAGCAGGGCAGGAACAAATATTTCAAAACAGTGGATCATCTTCATCTCTACTCTTCATGTGGGAAAGCAGTGAGGACTTACCGCAAAAACTCCTCGAACAACCCAGCCATGATACTGTCGTAATGTTTTGCCATAAGATTTGTCTGCAAAGAGAACAGAAATCAGTTGCAAGATGCTGAATTCAGATCAGAAGCAGTCAAAAGGAAACAGAGGTTTCTTATTCATGCAAAATCTTTCTAACCATGATATTTTTTCTAACACAAAAAATTAGCTTTCTTTTTGAGTTTAAGCTTTGCTTTTTATTTAGTATATATAATCCAAACAAAGGCAATGATTGGATAGATTTATTTGTTTTCCTTTCCTAAAGTTCTCACATTTATAAAATTTTACAAAATATTCCATACTTACTCAGTGCTGTTTGGATGTTTTTCTCTCCATTCTTTAGTTCTGTCAAGAACTCCTTCAAAAATTTTAAACCTCTGTTTATGACAAACAAGATATATTACATCTCTGAAAACATTCCATTCATTTTACAAAGGAAGACAAGACAGGATAGTGAGGCCCTTTGCATCTCTGTGATTTAGTTCTAAGATACTATTTGAAGCTTTTTGTATAACAATAGAAAGCTGCCCAACATATCTCTCAGCTCTGTGAATCCTTATCTATGAATTCTGTATATATCAATTACTGCTATTTCTGAAAATAAGCACTGATTTTTAAATTACAAATGTTTAAAATCAAATATAATCTCAAACAAATGAAAACATACCTTTCTGGGAAAAAAATCCTAAAGAACAAACATTTTATTCCAATTGCATGAACCAGTTCTTGTAAAGGCAAGGACATTTTTCCAGCTATTTCCAGGGTGTAAGAAAACCATGACAAAATTATTAGGGAGCAGTGACAATTTTTATTTTGTTTTTTAATTCACTGCATTAAGTTGGCTGAAGATGTTTTCTTATTTTTATTTTTCTGACGGACTCATCTTAAATGTCAGCAACAAAGTGAAACTCCTTCTAGAATGCAGGCACTTGTTTTGAAAATGTTAAGCATAAAGGCCACTATTATGGTGAAAAAATGCTAACAAGTCCAATGTGCATATTCAATGTCTATATATGATTTCATGCATGTGGTTATCAAATACCAGCAATAAAGACCCCTTTGACACCTCGTACATTTAATAAGGGAAGACTAAATACATTGTTCTGTAAAATTTCTTCACAATTCTGCTCAAAAATGTAAAGATTGAAACTTTACAAATAAAAATCATCATCTTGACATTTGGATATAGCAGTGAGAAACAAAGATATAAAATCTAATGAAAGGTCACCAAGGCTTAAGTTTATAGCTGGATCTGAAAATTTGTACTCTGCTTTTAATTAGAAAATGACTATCTCAGAAAGCTGAGATTTCATAGCTCCTCGCCATTTCTTCTCTGTAATATGGAGAATCTTTTCCTAAACTTTATAACATTCTCAATGACTAGCTAATCTGTAATCTGCACCCAAAGACTGATCATAATGCACAAGTCATATATTTTTAGTGTTTTTAAATAAAGAGTGGTATCTTGGGTCTTACTTGTTTTGCATGTAATGTGACCAAAATGCAACTGTTTTCTTAAAAAGTAAACATTATTTACAGATTTTAGAGCAAAGGCAAGTCCCTTCTACTGAGTCATTTCAATCATTCCCAGAGCAGAAAACTGACCTTTTAAGCCAGAGGAGGGCCTGTGTAGCAGAGTGTCGAATTTGGGCCACTTCAGTGCTCAACTCATGAAGGACAATTTTTTGAAGGGTGCAGAAATCCTCTTTGTTGGTTATATATTTCTGATTTATTTTCTGAAAGGATGTGAAACATACATTTTAGATTTTTTAGCAAACAAAGAAAAAATGCTTAAAGATATAAACTTGTTGGTATCCAATACCGTTACTTAATGTAATGATGGGTCTGAGAGTCATAGTATTTGGATCTAAAGCAGGCAAAGGTGTATTGAATTCAGAGTGAAAACAGACACTGGTGTTGTGCCATGTAAAATAGGAAGAATTTTTGCCTGGTTCCAATCCAAATACTGCATGCCTCTAGACCAGGGATGGCAAAACTAGTATTTAAAACTCCAAATATACATATTCATTCTGCTGGTGGTTTCTTCCAAGAGGGGTTTTTCTTCTTCTCTGAAAAGCCTTGGGCTATTTCTGCATCTAGTTCTTTTTGAAAAAAGCTAAGTAACAACGAAAAGATTAGAAATTAAATTGTAAAAAGAGAAAGAGATAACAGAATATATTTCGACCTACAGGAAAGGTAATGGAAGAGCTTTCTGCAGGTAGCAATTTTCCTTGCAACTCTCCATTTTTGGACTTGGAGATCTTTCAGAGTTAACTGTCCAGCTTTCCACTCAGATGAAACATTTAGGCATTATGTCCTCTGGAACTACAGGGAAAGGTGGCTTTTCATTAACAGGAACTCCATTTTTATCAAGATTTCCACTGCTTTTTAGAAACGAAGGTGCTGTTATCATGACTCCTTCCCTATCCTATAGGATCTGGCTTCCTTTTTTAAAAAAATCCTTTGTTGCCACAAAAAGTTAATGGTGCATGGAAAAGATCTGGGATGGGACTACTCGACCATTCACTGCCTTCTGATTTGGTTCTCCCACTGGCCTGCTGAAACAAGCGGTTTTACGAAAGCTGCTTTGCAACAGAATGGCGAAGACAGCAGCCCAGAAAGTAAATATAGAAAAGGGCCTGTGAGGGGATACAACAGCTCTCTTTAATATAGCTCTCTTTAAGTACACGAAGGTACATCATCACCTACATAAAATAAAGTGTAGCTTATTTTATCGCGTCTAGGAATGTAAAACATGAAACTAAGTGTGGTATAGTAGGCATCAAGCTAGAAACTGGGAGACCGAGAATTCTAGTCCCGCCTTGGGCACGAAGCTAACTTGGACCAGTCATTTTATCTTAGCCCTAGGAAAGGCGCAAAGGCAAAGCACTTGTGAAAAACTCTGAAACTTGCGGTCTCCAATAATCAGACACGACTGAATGGAAGAGAGAAAAAAAGTGAAACATGGGAGAATAAGGTGACGTTACAGAAAGGCAAATGCCAGTGAAAATTACAAAAATCTGCCTAATACTTAAAGAGTTTGACCTCTGAACTTAATACCCGGGAGGTTGTAGGTTCTTATACAGAGATATATATTGACATATCTTGGCCGGGCTTACTTTGTTTTTAACTTGAATACATGATAGTCTAAATGGTTCCTTTCAGTTCTACGATGCTATGAAAGTTATATATTAATGGCCGCTGAATGTTAAACTGAATCTATTACCTTTATATTTCCTTCAAAATCCATTTTAACAGGGGCAAAGACTGTGGGTCCAAGTTTGTCTAGAAAAAAGAAAACATTGTCTTTTTCAAAAGTTTGGTTCCCTCAAGGCCCTCTTTAACTGGCATCTACAAAATTCTGATTTAGCACAAAAGAGCAGGAAGGATATGTCCATTGGACTACATCTATATTACACAAGGGTATTTTCTCTTCTCCCTTTTACTCTATGGAAACAGTGCAGAAAGAATTATTTTTGCTGTCAGATATTGTCTCCTCATGAGCAGCTGGTGGCCTAGAGATGAAGGCAGTTGCCTCCCACTTGGAAGGTTGAGAGTTCAGTCCTAGGCAGAAACAGATGTTTCTCTATCAGGGCACAAAGAGAAAATGTCTGCTGCAAACTCTGTGTAGGCGTCAGGAATGGCATCTGGCCAGTAAACACCCAGCTTCATTCAGTCACCCCAACTCCATCCCAATAAAAGGGATTACAGGGTTGTAAAAAGAAAAAAAAAACATTGTCTCCCCAGAGATTGTGGACTATACCTCAATTTTCTGATAACATAAATTTGACATGCTTCTTCTTCAAAAGTCTATTAAAAACACCGTTGTTCTTAATTCACTGCTCTCATTCTTTTAAAGAACAGGACAAAATAATTATTATTTAAGAAATCTCCTTTCACCCCAAATGATGCTAAAGCTACTAACTATTTTCAAACAATATGTGTTAGATACAAAGTATTGATCCCAGATTCGAGTAAAGTATAGCTAGTCCTCACTTAATTACAATAATTGGAACAGGAATTTAAATCATAAAATGCAACATCACACCATTGTGTCCTTAGTGATGTATTCTAGTACTTCCGGTTGCTGTTAAACATGATGTCATGTGATCACCATTTGTGACTTACTGCTGGCTTCCCCACTGACTTTGCTTGTGAGAAACTGACAAAGAAAATCGCAAATGGTGATCACAGGATGGAACAATGTCATAATTGCAAGCTGGGTGCCAAGAGTCCAGATCATGATCATATATATATGGAGTTTCCACTGTAACTGTGGAAAATGGTTGTAAGTACCATTCACTCACTACCGTCATAAGTTTAAATAGTTACTGAACAGGATGCTGTTAAGTGAGGATCACCTGCAATCATAAGTTACTGAACAGAAATCTATCTCAAATCCTAAAAAAGATAGTTTAAAAGTCATCCGTCACAGCAAAATGCTTGAATTGGCTTATGGTTTTTATAAGATATTTTTATGTCTTTCGTGATAAACATCTGGAGCATTTCACTAGCCTTCCCCACTGGCACCTGAAGGGAAACATCTTCGTGATAACATTTAACATGTTCAGGCTTTGCAGACTTCCTAGAGTAGTGGTGTCAAACTCAAGGCCTGTGGGCCGTATCTGGCCCACGGGATGCTTAGATCTGGCCTGCGGGGTTGCCCTGGAAACAGCAAAGGACTGGCCTGCGGTGCCTTTGCCAGTGAAAATGGAGCTCAGGAGGACCACTCATGGCCCTCCTGAGCTCCATTTTCACTGGCAAAGTGTTGCAAGAGGCCATTGCAGCCGAAAACAGAACTTGGGAGCCCGTTTTCGCTGGCAGAGTACTCAGGCCACCACAGGCATCCCCGACACAAGTGATGTCACATTGGCCAGGCCCACCCTGGCCCCCCGAGTTCAAACACAACCCTGATGTGGCCCTCAGTGAAATCAAATTTGACACCCCTGTCCTAGAGCAATGGCTTTAAAAATTCCATGGCCACTACACACATTTAGAGGTTTTGGGAGGTCAGCTCAAACCTGATAAACAACTGTTTATAAGATTGGTCCCTATACAGATTGTGCTCATTTGATGACCAATCTCTTAGCAACTGTTCAGTTAGGATGGATCCCCCCAAAAACTACATGATTTGGTTTTGTAGTTCCAATGATTGCATTCTTTGACCACCACAGTCACATGACTTCATTTCATGTGCTGGACAATCAGCTCACCTTTTTGACTGGATACAGTGTTTTGAGGTCATGTGACTGTAATTTATGATGGGGTTTGCCCATTTCTGATCTTTCCAGGTCATTTCCAACTAAAAATGCTTCTAGGAATGTTGATTTACTTAATGATCACTACATTCACTTAACAACCATGCCGTTCATTTAACAACTGCCACAAAAAAAGTCATAAAACCAGACACAGTCACCTGGGTGCTTCAACTTACAACCCATGATTTACAACAGAAATGCTAATCTCCATTAAGGTTTCAAGTTGGGGACTATCTGTAAAACTCAAGCTAAAGTGGTGGAGATGCAATGGAAATGCATAACAGATTGAACCTGGTCAAAATGAGCTAAATGTTTAGCAGTTTCTAAATTACACTCTGAAATAATTTTACTTTGATTAGAGAAATGTGTGGCATATAAATTTAATGAATAAAAAATAAACAAATGATTTCTTGAAATCAGTCTTTCAGACAACTCAAAATCAAGATATTATATAGATCTTGATCTGTTTCATGCCTAGACAGAAGATAGAAGGCAGCATCCAAACAACCACTATGGAAATCAATGGAGTTCCATGGAAATAAAGCAAGAGCCAGATGAAAAATAAACAATGAAACATTTATAAAGAGGTCTGTAAGTTGATTACAAGTAAGTTTCATTGATTATTGTTTGGTACCAAGGAAACAAATTAAAAACTTTCCCTAATGAAGGTCACCCAAGCAGATCCATAACCTTCAACATTTTGAAGTAAAGTTTTATTTAAGGCTTATTTCAGACATACTGAATGTCTGAACTTACACATTGCAAGCCAATTTGATTTAGGCACCAGGCTAGAAAATACAGATTGTGAGTTCTAGTCCCATTTTGGCATGAAAGCTAGCTGGGTCACTTCGGACCAGTCACTCTCTCTTAGCCCAGCTCACCTCAAAAGGTTGTTGTGGGAAAGTCAGAAGGAATATTAGGTCTGTTCGCTGGTTTAAATGATTAAAAAATAATAATAAACACAGAATAAAAATAAATTTAAATTAAATTAAAATACATGCCAAGACATCCTTCAAGAAAAAATTCTGCAGGAAAATAAAGTTATATAAAGTTATTATTTTAAAAAATGAAAAAGATCTGCTGCATCTGCCTAAAAAAAACCTGCCTAAAACCTGTAATCAAGTTCATTATTCTCAAGATTCCTTCCTGCTACCCAGGGTGGATAAAAATCAATGATTTTTTTAAAAAAATCAAAAAAATCAGATTTTTTTAAATTTAAATCAGATTTTTTTGATTTTTATTGAATTTATTTTAATAAAAAACTTTTGGGGTAAAAATCTATCGTAAGATAGTTTTCTATTTAAGATACATAATTTAGTTTACTCAGCATGAAATGGAGCTTAGTTATGTAGCATGAGGCTGTATATTCTGCAACACTGGGACTATCGGTGAGTTAACAGCGGGTCAAAGGAGTAGCAGAGATGACAGTTGCTCTTTAAAAATTATGATTTAAATCGACTCGATTTAAATCAAGTCTTTTTACTAGTGATTTAAATCATGATTTAAATCGACTCGATTTAAATCAAATCCACCCTGCTGCTACCAATAACAACTATGGGTTATTATGGGTTAATTGTATTATTTATTTAATGTTAATTATAATTAACAACTTCTCAAATCATTCTCTATCTTCCTAGCTATCATAAAAAAGAAAGACCTACTTACTTTACTGAATTATTCTGGAAAAGTCTACCGGCAAATACTGAGGATAAGTAAAGACCACTTATTTACAAATTACAGAATCTATTCTATGACTCAGTGTAGAACACCCAAAGCAGCCAAACAGATATATTCATATACAATAAATGTTATGGAGAAAACCAGCAATTATACTTACCCAAGACTGGAACTATTTCATAACAGGAATTCAGAAATTCTTCTGTTGGTATTCCTCCATCCTCAAATAGCTTGATATCACTAAATCTTTGGAAAAGAATGCAAACAGAACATGAAGAAGTCAATTCTGCAATAGCAATAAAAATAATTCCACCCTGAATCATATTTCAAAACCTTCCACAGGTAGTCTTTGATTTACAAATGTAATTATGATTGGTTACAGTTGTGTTATGGCAGTAGGTTGAGGCATTTATGCAACCAGAAATAATTTTATGGTCTTTTTCAAGCCAGTATTAACTAAATGCCGTGATCATTATATGAACCAGCATCTTCTACCCCCACACACAAAAAAAAATAACCCACCAAAAAATATTACAAATTAATATTTGTAATGCCACAATTGGTCATAAATCTGTCCTGCCCAATATGCAGTCACATGACTGCAGGAGGGAGGTGGTAGGACCATTTGTGATGATTGGGGGTGCTTTATGGGCTGCTTTGTTTTTATCATTACTTTGAACGATGATAAATAGACTGGTTAAGAGTTAAGGACTACCTGTAATTTATAATATTTATAAATGTTTACTAGTTTTTCTTCTGTCATAAGCCATATTAGGCAAGCACATAGCTCTCCAAATTCTGTGGAGATTTATGCTGCTCTGGATTGAATTCCACTAATTAAAATGTTTGAGGCATGCTCCATCCAGGTGGCACATTACCTATAGTTCATAGCACTGAAGAAAGTAGGAAAATCTGTGTCTGCTGATCTGTTTACAGATTCTTCTAAAAGCTCTAAAGGTTTGTCCTCTTGAATGTTCCCTTGTGGTAGCAGCTTATTTTCTCCATCTTTACTGGGGCTACCTTAGATTTAAAGAAACACAAATCTTTAAATGGTATGGAGGCTAATTGTGGAAAATATGACTTCTAATTAATATTTAGACCAGTATGGATTTGTATGGGCAGTATCCGGGTAACAAAGCTGGAGATGCATTATCATTTATTTAGTTAGCAAATCTATAAATATTTTTCTAAACAATAGGAAAATAAACAACAAATCAAATTTCAGCAGACTCTATATCCTTATTACTCTAATTCAATTCTCTAGGGCAGGGCTGTCAAACTCCTGACCCGCGGGCCAGAAGCATCTCATGCTGGCCACACCCACGCCTAGTTTAGCAAAGTGGAAAAAAGTCCCGATGTGTCACGTGATGCCGTTTGACACCCCTTCTCTAGCGCCTCTCTGTCTTGAAGACAAACTCTTAACATAACAACAGTAGAGTGTCAAACATCCTCACAATCTTCTATTCAAATGTTTGGTTAATATAGAAAGGGAGGTCATATCTCTTCACAAACACATATCCACTCACTCAACTTTCTTTCTATGTCTTTATTCTTCTGACTTTCATCCCTCCTTTTTTCCTTCAGATATTGCTTTATCAGTCTTTCATGACCTGGAACTAGCAGGACAGCCACAGAATGAAAAGCACATTGCAAAGTACTGTATAATATTGTGTTCTAATTGGCCCTCTTCAAGCTCACACATACATATTCTATACCAACTCAGGATTCTGTTATGGCTAGATATGAAATAATTTCTCCACAGATTCTCCAGAGGGCCATTTTCTTACCTTTCTTTTCACTTCTCTTTAGGGGTACAGGGGATGATTTTTCAATAAAAGTTTTTTCACAAAGGGTAGTATTTTTATAAATAGACCCATTTTCATGTTTCTTTAGTTCCATCTTCCTGGGAGGAAAGAAATTAAAAAAAGGGAAAGCCAAGTTAATGCTTAAAATTAATGCTTGTCTTACATAATGTTCTCACCTTTCCTTCCATTTTTATGTGTAATATTACATTTTTTAAGAGTTACTTTTCTGATCCAGTAGCTGCATTTACATCTTTAGAAACTGAAAGTCTCACTATTGACTGTTCGGTTGGGAGTTTATTTTTCATGCTACCGAAAGAAGAATGAGATTTATTTTTAAAATATAAACGCAAATGGTTCTATGGGTGTCATGTGGATTTTACAGTATGTTAATATTTATTTATTTATTTATTTATTTATTTGTTTGTTTGTTTGTTTGTTTATTTATTTGGTATCCATTTAAAATTGTATAAAGGCATTGACTTAAGAATATAGAGAAATGTAAGACAAATTCTTTGGATGAACTTGAGCCTGAATTCAAAATTTTTATAGGGACAGAGTTCAAAAGGAATAGAGACTTCTGGTCTTTAAAAAAACAGAAAAGAAGTTCTTGTTGTCAACAGCATTCAAGGAAAACCAGTTAAAAATGTTCTACAGATGGCACTTCATATCAATACGACTTGCTAAAATGTTTCCGAACAATTCTCCAAATTGTTGGAAATGTAAAAAAGTCCCCAGAACATATTATCATCTCTGGTGGACATGTCCCAACGCAAAAAAATATTGGATTAAAATTAGAAGTTGGATAGAAGAGATAATTGGCTATAATGTGGATTGGAAACCAGAAACGTTTTTACTGGAGATACTGAATAGAACAGAACTTACAGTAAAGAAATTAGATATTTGATTCTGCATATAATTACAGTGACAAGGATAGTCTACGCACAGTCCTGGAAAAGTGAAAAGATCCCAACAGAGGAAGAAATAATTAAGAAAATCCTGGACTGTGCGGAAATGGATAAATTAACGAAAGAAATAAAATAAAAGGAAGATACAGAATATTATCAAGTATGGACTAAATGGTATGATTGGCTCGAAATTAGGGAAAGTAAATGTGAATAAACGATGAAGAGAAGAAGGTGACAAATGTGCAAAATATTGTAAATGAAGAAAATTAAAAATAAAGGGACAATAAAGATAATGATAATAAAGGATGGGAAAAATGGGGAATGTATATAATAGAAAGTAAGAAGAATGAAACTGATATGTAAAAAGAAACACATATGTGTTTTGCATGTTTGTGTTTTGTATGTTGTGTTATGTTGTATTGTTGTGGTAAAACCAATAAAAGAAAAAAGGAAAAAAGGAAAAGAAAAGAAAAGAAAAGAAAGGAAGCTGGAAGTAACTTGTGGCTTTCCAGATGTTGTTTGGCACCTTGAGAACTTTTAGTGAAACCACCTCATTAAAGTATCATTCTTTGCAACAGCTTTTCCATTATTGCTAACACTAATAAGAGGGTTGGCATCACCACAGAAAGTTTAGACAATGGGAAAATCTTCAATGGAATGAAGAAAAAATAAGTTGTACCTTTCTGTTACACTGCGGCTAAGTATGGCAGGAAGTTTCAGCTGCAAGGAAAAAAAATGATAGGCTATGAGTTCAAGCACTGGCAACATTCTTCCGGGTTCGGTATTCTACCTTAAGTTCATCAAAATATGGAAAAAATTAAAACATTATGTATGAATGCTACAGTACTCTAATTAATTTAGTCTAATGAGTAAACAAGAAATAACCAAGGTAAGGAAATCTAAAATGCATGCTAATGCCACACTGTGCATAAATAGCAATCTTCATCTGTGGCAAGTAAAGAAGAGAAGAGAAAGGGATCTCATATAAAGTATTAATTCTGAAATTTCAAAATTTAACAATCTAGGTTGGTCTTACAACACCAAGTATTTGTTGAGAGGCACAGACAAGTTTATTTGTGTCATTTTTATCTCAATTATTTTGTTTAAATATTATTCTGTTCCCTATGTTTGGCTTATATTTTTAGTATCTGAAAACAATATGACATTAATTTTCTAAATATGATCAGTTTTTTTGCATACTGCCTTAAAAGCTGAGAGATCTATGAAAAAAATGTCCAAACTATTTGAGATCCAAATTTGGCTGCTGAGTCTGAAGTCTGTTATCTCTTTTTCCCAGCCACCTTTCGTCATGTCAGTTGGGCAGATGGAAGTCATCATATTCTAGTACAGCAGACAATTATATTGGTAAAAGCATAAACCAGCAAAAATCATATGATATATTGCAGAAATTACAGGTAGTCTTTGACTTATGACCACAATTAAGCCCAAAATTTATGTTGTTGAGAAATTTGTTAAGTGTTTTTTGCCCCATTTTACGACCGTTCTCACCACGCTTGTTAAGTAAATCAGTACAATTGTTAAATTAGTAACACCATTTTTAAGTGAACCTGGCTTTCCTATTGACTTGTCAGAATTCAAGGTGATCACATGACCCTCAGACATTGCAACCGTCACGAATATGAACCAGTTGTCAAACATACGGAGGTAAATCACATGACCATCGAGATGCTACAATGATTACAAGTGTGAAAAATGGTCATGTCACTTTTTTCAATGCCATTATAACTTCAAACAGTCATTAAATGAACTGTTGTAAGTTGCGGACTACCTGTATACAATCCATGAACAACAATGAGCAAGAAATAAACTTCTGAAATATTGCAGACCACACCCAAAGCAGCACTTGACAAACCTGCTTGGTAATTGGTCTTTTTTAACCGTGACACTGAAATGCTGATCTTAAAAAAAACTTATGAACCAACCATATTTGTAACATCTATTAAAAATGCATAGTCTGTTAATACATTTCTCATTCATATTTAAAATTCGTTCCTTAATGTCTTTTTCTACAAAAAAGTAGACATATTACAGGCTTTCTTGACAAAAAAAAAGTTCATAAGCCTGCTTTGTTCTTTTCCAGAATAGCACATCTCAAGCCAAAATTCAATTATATATGCATTGGAATTGCTCATTCTATGAGTATCTAATGAATGTTTGTCATAATAGAAAGTCACTTTTTTGGCAGCCAAGACCTACAGTGCTTGTTTGCTATGATGATTTTCTTTGACAGAAAGCTACTGTTTCATGACATATTAATAATGCTAAAATTTGGAGAGTGTTGTTTGCCATGTTTGAGAAAGAATCTTTTTTATTTATTTTAGGTCTATCTGATGACTTGCCTGGCATTTTGCTTTGATTCTCACTGCAGATTGTCAAAATGTGGTGCCTTTATTGTTCAGTAGTTTATGCTGAGCAATGTCACTAATTTGTGGATGATTTCAGGACTCACAAAAAGAGCAAACCATATTCAGAACCATATGCAAATGTAAGTTGTCAGTTCATAAACTATTTTGTCGCATCTGAGATTGTATAAACTTACCTTGTTTAATTTGCGAATAACTGAATATGAAGTTTCTCCTGGAGTATGTTGAAGCACTTCAGAAGAAAAGGCAGCATTTGCAATCTGCATACATTCTTCAAGAGTCTTCAGGAATGTGGCACAGCTGGAGCTCAATAGTGCTCCCATATTAATTCCATGCTGCAAAATTAAAAATTTTCAAGCATTATCAGGTTTTTGGCTTTCCAACCTGCCATTACCATTACCCCAATTGTAAATCTTCAATATCAGAATTCACTTTTCCCAGCTCAGTTGACATATCTGCACTAAATATTTATTTATATAGCAAATTAATTAACTGTCCTTCATTGGTAAATTCCAGGATAGTTTGCATTTAAATAGAGTTACAGCAATGGAAGCTGTAATTTTTTAAAAATTAGAATAGATTTTTTAGTATCTTCCTAACAATTTGGAATGTATATGCTGTCTAGAAATAACTGCTCAACTGAAGTAAGTTTAACTGATCTGGACGACATGAAATTTCAGAACAAAATCATAAAATCAATTACTGATTTTAATTTTAAAAATGTCTGGGGGAAAAAAGTGTTTTTGCTTCCAGCCAACAATTAATGAAAAGCAGATCTTCTTAGGGAGTTTATTCCATTTTGGGATGTCACAGCTGAGGAGTTCTTTTCTTGACATATCTCTCATAGGGGATGTATAAAGAAGAAGATCTTAAACATTTTTCATGCCTCCACTAAAAGGACCCAACTTTCATGTTTGTCAGGTTTCCTGACACTAAAGTACCCAGGCTGATTTCTGATAATGAACTTGACATTGAAGGTTCATTAAAAGCAAGAATGATTCAGATTGCCCTGCTGACTGCCAGAACATATAATATTTTTTACCAAGACCTTATTATCCAGGTAGGACTGAGGCTTCCTGGAATACTCAGAAGTTTTTGCATTTTTAAAAATGGTGCCAGCCTGAGTTGTCAGGATGTCGCTTGCCTCTTTGCTTTTCCATTTAAAAGTGAGTGATAGGGTAAGGCAACCCATATCAAAATTCACTCTATTTGTAATGATATCTTGTATGAATTATCTGAATAAGAGGAATATACATAGCTTCTCTCTTCCAAGAATATTTTCTCTGTAATATTATTTCTAATAAAACATGAGAGGTGATAGCTTAGTGTCCTGGTTAGTTCTTTGCAACCTAACAAAAGGAGGAGGTTTTTGATACACTTTAGAGATATGCACCTACCAAATATGGTATTGTTTAGAATACACCCAGGTCTAGATTTCTTATCACTTCCATATTATGCATCTGTAGACACAGTTCATGGTGATCTGAACATTGTGATTCAGATCATCAAAAGAGGCGGGCCAAATTTACTTTTGGAAGGCCTGAGTTCTATTTAAAAGTCAAATATTGGTTGCTGTATGGAAGCCACAATGAAATTTCCATCATATAACTTTGTAAGAACAGAAGAAAGGCCTGATATTAGAGCAAAAAATTACAACGATATAATCTGAATAAAACATTTCTTTTTCCAAACTCCCTCTATATAATACTGAAGTCCTTGGCAAATATCTCAACTCTAATACAACTCTAACAACAGGAGTGCTTTTTGGAACATATTACCTGAACATGTGAAGTTGTAGTAGTTGCTTTAATTTTTTCCACTTGCTGAACCAGGAGGTCACAATATAATCTAAGTTCTGCCATTTTTGTTTTCAATATTACAGTGTTTTCTGTGAATTCTAAATTAAATTAGAAAAATCAGTCATCTCCAATGACTTCTCAACAAATAAGCATTGTTCCAAAAAATGTATTTAGAAAAGTGACCATTTAATTATTCTTTAAATTCTGGAAGGCAGTATAAAAGAAAACCATGAAACCAAATTTGATATTAACTAATGCAGTGTATTAATTTTTGACACCAGAATAATACACAAAGTTTCAAATTAGAAAGATGTGTTTTTATACAAGAATATAATATATAATATATTCTTAAATAACAAAACCAGATCTTTTTTAGATCTTGTTTTAAAGATAGATTTTGATAGGTTATAACTTTTCACTTTGTTGGAAATTAAAAGTAATATTTGAGTAAATGCAATTTTTATTAAAACACCTTTTTCTTACAGTATACATTCATACAATACTTTTAATTAGCTGATATAAAAGAAGGAATTCATTATTGTGTAGTTGTTAGATTATGAGATGCTCAGGAGACATTCATACTTAAATCCCTATTCAGCTTAAAGGTTCCCAGGAATAGAAAATCTCAGAGATGCTTTTGAAAGAAATAAAACAAAGACTGTCAAGTTTTTGTGCAACAAGTAATTCAAAGATTGGATATGTACATAAAATGTTACTTTGGGGGAAGCTGATAAATACTACATTAAGTTGATCCCCATGAGAATTACTTGCCTTTTTCTTTTAATGTCCGAATATCTGTCAAACAAGCTTTGGCAGTTCCCAGGGCAACCAACCATTTTTGTCTTTCAGCTGTATCTTTAGCTTTGAGATAAAAGCACTGTTCTCCAGGAATTATCAAGTCCATGCGTGTATTATCTATAGAATGAACTAATATCAACAGAGTTAGGTGAGACTCAATCAACAGTCACATATAGACTAACTTGATTCAGACACAATTTGTCTTATTATATGCAGCCTTTTTCTTCCTTTCTTCTAAATAAACCAAACAAAAACTCCTGGAATTACTAATCAGAGTTCTTTTCTACAGCCAAATTTATAGATAGGAAAAACAGAAAAAAAATCAGAATCATAGATCCATAGGCCGAATCACAGTGCTCCAGGAATAAATAAGTAAGGAAGTGTTGCACACCATCTTAAGACCTATATAACATATTTTGCATAATAAATAAAAATATGGATATATATCATATTAATGATTTCCACTTCCTTGTCACAAAAATTCTAGTTTACCTGATATTACAGTTTTCTTTTAATTTAATTTCTTCATTGACGTTAATTCAGGGTTTCATGTCAGTTTAAAAACTAAGCTAATAAATTATTGTCCCTATTGGTTAACTGATATTATTCTTTTTCAGATCTAACAGGAAACAAAGCAAGATAGGATGATTTTTCATGCCAAAGAGGAGGAGAAAAAGACCAGGAACATATTTGGAAAATATTTGGGATCTATGGCACTTATTCACAGATTACTTATACATGGCATGTGAAGCTGCAGATGAGTTTCTAAACAAAGTCATTGAATATAATAAGCAAGAAGATATACTTTGTGGATCTTGTCTCTCTACCTTGAATTTCACAAACTGCCATCTGAATGCTCCCCTTACATCCTTTCCAAGCATCTTCCCGTGAGTCATAATAGGATAACACACCTCCTGCAAGAAGGAACCACCGAGGTTGCCAGCCTGGAAAGAAATAAAGCAGTGTTAAAATCACAACTGGAAAAAAAATGTATATTTTATTGCAGGTCAAAGAACAAACTCAAACTTGCTCCGTGGTTAATGAATTTGCCCTAGCAAATACTGTATGCTCTATAAGAAATATAACATATACAGATTTAAGCAGTGGTGGGATTCAGCCAGTTCGCACCACTTTGGGAGAACTGGTTGTTAACTTTCTGAACAGTTTGGCAAATTGGTTGTTGGAAGAAATCATTAGGGCAGAGAACCAGTTGTTAAATGACTTGAATCCCACCACTGGATTTAAGTACATCACATCAAATCATGAGTTAACTTTAATTAAGCAGGCTGACTGAGGAATTCTGGAGTTGAAATCCTCACATCTTGAAGTTGCTAAGATTGAAAAATACTGATTTAGAAGCAGTTGGTTCCAAAAGGCCATTTTGCACAAGAGACTGCAAAGCAATTAAGAGAATAACATTGTTATTATTCTCTTACAGCTTGGGTGTCCAATCTGTAGTCTTAGGGAGGTTGCAACTTTTCATGGTTTTTGTTAAACAACCAGTCCCTTTCTTAGCTGTCATTACTTTTTATTTAAAATATAAAATTAAATGAAATATTTGTAGGTGGGAAAAGATTAATGTGAAAGGGTATTTGTGTATTTTGTGTATTTAACTACTGAAGGGAACTTTACTCTTATTAAAATCCCACACCAAATTTGCTTTTATCCCACCTTTATGTTACTTATGATATACTCTACAACACCCACAGGTAAATGCATATTAAAAACTTTCATAACAACTCCTGCCAATTCATTCTAAATATAGATTTGCATACTATCAGATCTGGCAAAGCTATTATACAAGAATCATCTGTGAAAAACAGATATCTTGTATGTATCTGCTCAAAAATTCAATTCGCATTGGTTTCAGTGAAGCTGTCTCTCAAATTAATCAGTATTAGTCAGTAAAGGGAATTCTAACAATTGAAATCCTGCTCATCTAGATAGCTCTGTAATTAAGTAAAGCTAGGGTCTGGATAGTAATCAGCTGTGTACCAATACACATCCATTAAAGCCATATATGCAGCATTCCCGCACCCCCACACTTTCCCAGATTAATGACTCAATGTTCCATCTGATACTAAAAATATAAACTGTGTTCTATTACTCAGTGAAAGTAGAAGGTACATAGGTATCATGAACTTCTGATGGAGGGTTGAGTGGGAAGTGAAAGAATTCACTTACTCAAGACAAGTTGTTTACTGGGGAATGTTATGAATGTGAGAGCTATAGAAAAAAGAGGAATCATAAGAAATAATTAGAAAACAAAATGAGACAATACTAGAGCCAAGATAGAAATAATTAACCAATACTGTAATTTTTCTTCTTTGTATTAAGGCAGCTGATATTTAACCTACATACAAAAAAGCAGCTTTAGATCTCAAGAGAACAGAAATTATCATGTAAATAACGCATAGAATTCACTAGATATAAGCTTTTAATTAATCATTGGATTGCTGATTATCATAATGCTGTTATGATTATATGCTAATTATGTTAATGTGATCACAAATCGTGCTCTTTTGTCTAATTCCAGCAAAAGAACTGTTCTTTCTATATGAATTGCATTTATAGTTAGGTGGCATGTTTAACCCCAATATGTGTGAGTCCATCTGGGTGATCATTCTGTGATGCTATTATCATATCTTGCATCATGGCATACAGAAGGAAGAAGAAATGAAGCATTTCTTTATATTTCAACTATGGGGTCTTGAATAAAATCAAATCACAAGTTTAAGTGTTGCAAATGTTAATGTAATAGCAAGCATAATTTACAAATGCAAAGATACAAAGAGAGTACTCAAAACTTACCCGTGACTTTTTAAAGCATTGGATTTTAATATAACATCACATTTTTAATATTAAATTTTTTATATAAAATATAAAATCTTAATGGCAAAGAATTAGATTTATTCATTTTTAAAATAACCCCCGAATTATTTTGTTACTTTTGCTAGAAAATGCTAAAAGGTATACTTTTGGAGAACACTTTTCTAGATTTTTCCAAGGCAACTAAATTTTAATAAAGACTTAATTAAGGCTTATTCCATATGAAGATTTTCTCCATTATGATCCATCACTAGCTTGGTCTTTTTTCTTCCAATGGTGTGCTCATTGCCACTGTAATTGAGTCTATCCACCTTGCTGCTTGTTGTTCTATTCTTCTCTCTTTCCTTCCATCTTTCCCAGCATTAGAGCCTTTTTCAGAGAGCTATGTCTTCACATAACATATTCAAAACAGTATAATTTGAGCCTGGTCATTTGTGCTGTGAGTGAGAATTTTGGATTGATTTATTTGATGATCCATTTGTTTGTTTACTTGGCTGAATATGGTGTTCTCAAGAAACCTCTTCAACATTAAAGTTCAAAAGTATTAATATTCCTGTTCTTCAAAGTCCAAATTTCACTTTCATGTCACTGGGAACACTATGGGTCCCTGATTCTTTCAATTCTGATCTTTGTTTGAGTATCTTTTCCAAGGCCTCCCTGGTTGTTCTATCAAGTGCTAGTCTGTGGTATATTTCTGGACTGTTGGTTCCTTTACTGTTGATGGATATCCTAATAAGCAGAAGCTAGACACTACTTCAATATCCTGTCAATTAGAAATACACACACACACTTGATATAAGAAGAGAAAGAAACCATTTAATCAAGAATGATCTTAAGATATAAGTAAGAACATATGAGAAAAATCATTCCATCAAGTGCTAATGTTGCAATTTGAACAGCTTTATAAGAAGCTGTTATAAAAGAGAAGAACTAGCATAGTAAAAATGGAGTTTATATTCTGAATACCAAAGAAAGTAGTGGCTTCTTTCTAATCCCAACTATACTTCTTCTAATGAATGTATTTCTAATATACATACACACATATACAAATATGCAAGCACACATAGCAGAGGCATCCACAAGATTACACATGACCAGTGTAACTGCCACTCTTTCATCCATGCATACAATGTCAAGACACATGTAGAAAAGGAAATTATATTATGTAACTTGGTTTTGGCATTTGACCCTTTTAACCTGCCTTAGAAATGCCTCTGTTCTTATCTCTCTTGGAGAAACTTTACAATCATATAATTGCTACTAAAGCTATTTGTTCCTCAAAATATTACTAAATCATAACCCTTAACTCTCATCCCCATATGCTAGGAATGCCAAGGCTGATGGGAACTAAAGTTCATCAATAATTTGGAATTATAGGTTCTAGAATGAGTACTGTATATAAATTTTAGAAATCTCCTGCAGAAACCATAACTAAGTATTAATAAATGCTGTTTAGGTTCTGTTTCTAATTTAGAACTATTTTTGAAGGATGACTAGTGAACTGTAATGAACTTAATTAAAAATCAAGCACAGAGAAGAAAAAAGATCAAGTATGAAACCATGATTCAGATGCGAAATTTATTCATATTTCAACTTCAACTATTGAATTGGTTTAGATCTTTGTTAGATACATTGATAAAAACTAGTTTTTAACTATTTATGTTGATTTACTGAAAAGGAAGTTGTGCTGCCCAACAGGTCTTATTACTATAAAACCTCTATATTTGAGATTTGCAACTTAAACTCAGTTAACCAGTCCTATCATTCTTTAAGTGCAAAATAGGCACTCAGAGACATTTGGTATTGACAAAGGAAATACATCTAGATATTTACCACTGTAACTCTGAATAAGTTGAATAACAATAGATACAAATAGTTTAAATATATATGATGTTAAACTTACGGGGTGGCTCAGTGGCTAAGACGCTGAGCTTGTCGATCGAAAGGTCGGCAGTTCAGTGGTTCGAATCCCTAGTGTGGCATAACAGGGAAGCTTCCGTTATTTGTCCCAGCTTCTGCCAACCTAGCAGTTTGAAAGCATGTAAAAAATGCAAATAGAAAATAGGGACCACCTTTGGTAGGGACAGTGTTCCGTGCACCTTTGGTGCTTAGTCATGCCGGCCATATGACCACAGAGATGTCTTCGGACAATGCTGGCTCTTCGGCTTTGAAATAGAGATGAGCACCTCCCCATAGAGTTGGGAACTAGTACATATGTGCAAGGGGAATCTTTATACACACACAGTCTCTCTCTCTCTCTCTCTCTCTCTCTCTCTCTCTCTCTCTCTCTCTGTGTGTGTGTGTGTGTGTGTGGTGTGTGTGTACATACACACCATATTTCTCACACTAACATTATTCATTTAGTGAACTTCTTATATTACCTTGGACTATTTTTAAACCACTCCTGATTCTTGTTCTATAACTCAGGAAGAAAACACCTGACACTCCTTTTTTTTAATACTGTATGATGATATCACACCTTCCTAAATTCATCCTCCTTGCACTTTAGACTGCACTTACAATGTAAATAAATCTTTTTAGAGCAAAGTGTATTTGTTCAAGATTGTAAGATCATTCTGTTACAAAAATAGGCAGGGTAATCCGCCTTGCCCATGATTTATTAAAAAGAAAAAAACCCTGAAATATCACATTAGCATAAGTATTCAGATCTTTTGCAACAACCTTTGAATTGCTGTCATGTTGGAAAGTGAACCTTCAGCCCAGTCTGAGATCCCAAGCACTGTGGAACAGATTTTTATTGAGGATACCCTTGTACTTTGCTCTGTTCAGCTTTCCCTCAACCCTGATCAGTCTCCCAGTCCTTGCTACTGAAAAACACCCCACAGCATGATGCTGCCACCACCATGCTTCACTGTTGGGATGATATTGGGCAGGTGATGAGTAGTGCCTGGTTTCCTCCAGACATAATATTTAGAATTGATGCCAAAACAGTTCGATCTTGATTTCATCAGACCAAAGAACCTTGGTCTGAGAGTCCTTCAAGTGCAAACTTCAAGCAGGTTTTCATGTGTTTTGTACTGAGATGCTTCCGTCTAGCCACTCTGCTATAAAGCCCAGATTGGTTGAAGGGATTGGTTGAAGAGAAGTTGTCCTTCTGGAACTCTGCCCCATCTCCACACAGGATCTCTGGCGTTCAGTCAGAGTGATCATCAGGTTCTTGGTTACCTCTCTTAACTAAGGCCCTCCTCCCTCAATTACCCAGTTTGACCAGACAACCAGCTCTTGGCAGAGTCCTGGTTGTGCCAAACTTTTTCCATTTGAGAATTATGGAGGCCACTGTGCTCTTAGGAACCTTCACCGCAGAAATTTTATTGCAGCCTTTCCCAGATCTGTCCCTTGCAATAATCCTGTGTCTGAGCTCTGCAGGCAGTTTCTTTGACCTCTTGGCTTTTGCTCTGCTACAGTAAGCATTGTCAGCTTTGAGGCCTTCGATAAAGAGTTGTATGCCTTTCCAAATCATGTCCAATCAATTTAACTTACCACAGGTGGACTCCAATTAAGGTGCAGAAACATGTCAGCAACTATCAAGAGAAATGAGAAGCACCTGAGCTAAATTTCAAGTATTGTTGCAAAAGGTCTGAATACTTATGCCAATGTGATATTTCAGTTTTTCCTTTTTAATAAATTTACAGACATTTCTAAAATTCTGTTTTCACTTTGTCATTATAGGGTACTGAGTGTAGATTAATGAGAAAAAAAATGAATTTCAACAACTGTAGGAATCAGGCTGCAGCATAACAAAATTGACAAAAGTGAAGGGAGTCTGAATAGTTTCTGAATGCACTGTGTGTTCTTCTGCATTTGATTCTGTTTAAATTTACTATTCTTATAATCCAATTTTTCTTAATAAACTAACCTCTGATCAAAATAAATGAATTTAACTGTCTGGATTTCAGCAAAGCAATTGCCACAGGCATTCTGATTAGCAAGCAAATTAAGTGTGGGCTGAGTAGAGAAACAACTAAGTGGATATATAACCTACTCAAAATAGTATTCATAGGTTACGGATTAACAGTTTCTAATGAAACTAGAGAGATTAAGCAGAGAACCACAAAATTTAGCCCTTAGACCAAGATTCTGGCAGATTGTAATACAGGTAGTCTCTGATTTACAACCATTCGTTTAGTGACCATTAACGTTACAATGGCACTGAAAAAGTGACCTATGACCAGTTTTCACACTTATGATTGTTGCAGCATCCCTAGAGTCACATGATCAAAATGCAGGCACCTAGAAACTGGTATGTATTTATGACAATTATGCTGTCCCAGGGCCGTGTGATCACTATTGGTAATCTTTTCAGTCAGCTTCCAAGAAGCAAGTCAAAGGAGGAAGTCAGATGTGCTTCATGACTACGTGAAAAACTCAGCTTCAGTGCTTCACTTAACAATTGTGGCAAAAATGAAGCACAACCCACTTAACAACTGCCTTGCTTAGCAACATAAATTTTGAGCTCAATTGTTGTAGGTCCTGGATTACTTTATAAGAAAATCACAAAGAAATTGATTTGAAAATGAGCAATGAGGATGATCAGGAGATTAAAAGCTAGTCTCATAGAATTTGTTCTATGAAAACAACTTGAAAAAATTAACCTGGAGACAGCATTTACATAATTTATAGTAACCATGTCTCCAATTTGCCTTTTTTAAAAGAGCAGGTTAGAAAAAACTGTAAATGTTAATTATTCGTAGTTCCCTACACTGGCAGCACTATGTATCATTAGCTGCCAACCACTTAGATAGCTGATGGATACTAGGCAAAAAAACTTTTTCAGATGGTGCATAATCCCTTTTGCTTAAATCAGATGAGGTGGTCTGTCCCTTTTTTGTCCAATTCTTTCTCCTTTAGGGGCAGCATCTGCATGGTTTCCCACAACTCCTATTTCTGAACTTGAATTTAAAACTTTAGCAAGAGAGTTATTTTCCAAGACTGGACTGTCCTCCCAAGCCAGGATCCCTCGATTCTTCAAGGCAAAGCAGCAGAGCCCAGACTCCTACCCCCCCACCCCAGGCCTTTGTAAAGCTTAGGACCTCCAACAGCCAGCAGCATCTAAATTAGGCATCCAGGACACTTTCCTTTTCTTCCTAGTTTTCAAAGTCACTACCTCGCTCTTTTAGTTACACGGACCAGTTTCCAGCTTCCAGTTCAGGATTTGTCGAGATGGTGCAACTTAAGCGGATTAACAAAGAAAGACAAGGTAGGACCAGTAATACTCACCGCTTAGATAGTTGGTCCATTTGTATAGTACCCCCTCCATAATGACAAGGTCCCCCCATCCAGATCTGCTTGGGACAGGGAAAACCTTGCCCCTGGCCTTCCCCCGGGAAACTTTTAAGCTCTCAGCCCCACAGCTGAAGCACAGACAGCCAAGGCCATCCTGAGGCTGGCAGAAGTCCGGCCCGCCTTCCTGTCTCCTTCCCCGCCCTATTTCTCCCCTCCCCACCACCCCCAGCCAAACTAGTTAGCCTTACGCTACTAGAGTAGAAATGCAGGTTTAATTACAGCAACGGGCTTTATCCGCTCCGCAAAGTTACGTAAATACGTTCCTGAATGCAAAGTTTACATGTGATTAGAACAAGGGCGTGGCTAGAACACCAAGAGAGCAGATGAGTTCTTGGGAACCAATGAGAATCCGGATCCATGCGTGGCGTCAGCCTATGATGGCATTCCGAAGCCGGCGGTATTGTGTTGAGGGATTCCAAAATGTATGCGCGGCGTTCTCTCGCTAGAATTTTTGGGAGACCAATCGCCGCTCAGCGATGAGAGAGCTTCCACGGGTTTTTTTCGCCCTGCAGATGAACGGGTCAGCTTCCCAATGGAGTGGCTGGCGTAAAACCCAGCCCTCGCGTTTAGCCAACCAGAAAGGAGAAAGAGGAGAGGTGGCTATTAAATGGATACGAATGCTTGGAGATTTGCCTGCTTTTCTGCGGGTTTTAAGACCACGTTTGCCACGTCTGCGGATTTGGAGAATAAAGTCTGAAACCTGGTGAGATACAAAGGCTGGGAGGAAGCTCGGCTCCGTGGTTAGCTTTTTCCATCTCCACCTTTATTGCAAAGGCTGACGTTTTAAAGTCCTATGAAGTGGAATTTTCAGAAGATACAATTTAAGTACATTAGAAAGGAAAGAATATATTTTAGAGGGCTTTTTTTTAAATAAAGCGATCTTAGATCATTCCTTAGTAATGTGAGAATCTATTTGAAGATTGTTGGATTTTTTTTTAATGGACAGGTGCATGTAAGGTCATGCGGGTTGCTTTTTCAGCCTGTAAAAAACGCATCTTCAAGTAACCAGAATGGAAGGTACTTTTTGGATTCTCTTTGGGACCGTGGCTTTGGTAACTGGCGCTCTCATTCCAGAACCAGAAGTCAAAATCGATGTTCTCCATAAACCTTTCATTTGCAAAAGGAAGACCAAGTTTGGAGACCTGATGTTGGTGCACTATGACGGATATTTAGAGAAAGATGGCTCACTCTTTCATTCCACGTAAGTATTTGTTCTGCAAATTCAGACACGCTAACCAAATAAATCACATTTTTGCTCAATGTGATGTATGAATAAGTATTTACCATAGTGGAAGATAGCTTGCCTTTTCTGATTATTCTTTGAAATATGGCCCTGGGTTTTATTTAATTGACCAAACTAAGTAATAATTTTAATTAGCAATTTTATGATGTTTGTGTGTCTATATTTTTCTTGACTGTACACCACCTTGAGTCCTACGGGAGAAAGGCGGTATAGAAATATAATAAATAAATAAATAAATAAATATCACCAAGTCACCTGTAGCCCTGGGCCAGAAAAAGTGGTCCATCCTTAATATGCAAAATGAATGATGATGTCGTAACTGGAAATATTTGATGGCCTTATTATAGGGATATTGGGCTTTTAGGGTATTGTGGATTTATTCTCAGTTGGGTCATAACTACATACACTTTCTTTTTTCTGAATTGTGAGATTTTCCTTTGGATAAGAGCATTTTTAACTTTTATTTGTAAATCCAGAAGTACAGCAAACCATAGCAAACCATTCTTACAGCAAAGTCCTGGTTCACTTCAGTAAGAACCCTTTTTCCCTTCCTTTCTTTTTGTACCATCATACTTTTATAAATATAAATGAGTATAATACAAGTGTTCTTAGTTTATGGATCATGACTCCTGGAGGTGTATGAGAGAGAGTCATTTGTTTTAAAATTTGCTTCAGGAATGATCTCATCTTGAATATTTGGCTTACAAATCAGTTTTCTATCTGCTGTTTTGCAGTGCCTTGGAAGAGGCACAAGAATTCCATGGACTACTAGGTATATTGTATTCTTTAGAAGTTTAAATTATCTACTACTAAATTCTTCTGTCTGTAACTTTTAACTGGGTGAAGCAGTGCATCATAGGACAACAATTTTTGAATCAAGTACGTCAAGGTATCTTGGATACATTATAAAAGATATCCAGAAACTGAGATCCATGACTCCCTTGGGATAGAAATTTGGGAGATTTGTGATTACTTCCAAGCTTCTGTGCCATCATCAGAAGCTTTTGTAAACCAGTCCTACTCTAGCCTTCCAGAGATGAAATAGACCAGGCCCTTCTTCAACTGCTGGAATCCAAGTAGACTAACTCCATCCTAGTCCTCTGGAGGTTAGGTAGACTGGTTACATCATCAGTTGCTGAAAGACAGTCAGCTTCAGCAAGTTGGACGTGGCTCCCATTCTCATTGCTTTTTTTGCCCTTGGTCATTCTGTTTTGCTGTTAAGGTAAAAAACATTTTGTGAAACAATGACCAAGTGGCTCACGGTTGTCTAATAACATTGTAAAACATTTTAAAATGATTTTTTGCATGTGAATTAGGTGTTTAAACATTAAATGTTTACAATCTATCACAAAGTCAATTGCATTTTTAATTTTCTGTGATTAGAGCAGTGGTGAAATCTAGCCAGATCTAACTGGCTTGCACGAACTGGTAGCGCCAGCGGCAGGAGGCTCCAGCTACCTGCTGGGACATCATTACATCCCATTTTTGATCCTCTAAATGGATTAGAGTGCATTTCACCACTGGATTAGAGCATGGTATATTTTGAAGATTTTACTACAAATAAAATTGACAAAAAGCATATTTGTGATATCTATTTGCAATTTATTGACACTGACTCCAGTAATTGGGTTCAGCTTCTATCAAATATGTTACTTGCCTCTGCCATCTCTGCTGATTAGCATGTTTATAGCTTCTGGAATATCTTTATATATTAATGACATTAAATATTTTTATCCATTAAGATAACAGATAGGTAACAGAAACAAATTAAACTGGTAAGTATTATGTGTTACTAAAGGAAATTATGTCTGAAGTTTGTTCTGTCACTCTGAATTCCCAGCAATATATTTCCTTGGATATTATTGTACAAAAAGAATTCAAAAAATGAATGAGAAGGCTATAAGCATGCTATTGAGTCAGGTCTTTTTTTAAAAAAAAATGCTATAAATAACAATTATGGATTAGAAAATAAATGAGAAATCAGAGTGGTTGTTTTAAGAATAAAAGCCAGATTTCAGAAATTAATGCAATAAGGATGTCCAAATTCATTCCTTATTGGACATTTTGCCTGCATTTTTGTTAAATCTCCAGTGAAATTCTTTATAAAAATTTTTCTATCATTGTTTCATTTGATATATGGAACAAATGCTAATTATTAAATTAAAAGCATTTTTGTGACATTTTTTCCTCCCAATTTATCACACAAGGGCATTGCAATACTGCAAAGTTCTAAAATTCCTGATATGATACTTTTAAGCTAATGATTGTCATGAATACCCTAGATTTCAATTAGTACAGACATAATAACCTACTTATTTTGGTTTAGAATGTGTTATTATTAATAGTTTCAGTTGCTAAATCAGAAGAAAAGATCTAAAAGATTGTCCGCTTTTATGTGTATGCTTTAAAATGGGACTAGGGCCCTCCAGAAATTGCTGAATTACAACTCCTGCAACTACACCTAGCAAAGCCAAGAATGAGAACTACCTGAGTTTAGTTAGCAATGACTGGAGGGATTCACACTCCTCAGCTTCAGTTTTCAAAAGTTGTTCCAGGAAATAACCCATGGGACCCTGTAATTCTATTTGCCATGTGAATTACTAGAAAGAAATAGAATGGGATGGCTTTTCAATTAGCTTGTCATTAGCCTTCATGAACAGAATACTGAAATACTAAATCTCTGGTCTGATCCAGCAACAGGAATATTTTTTTCAACTGGATGTCCTAAGTGAATGTTTTATTTGTTTCAGTCACAAGCATAATAATGGCCAACCAACATGGTTTACTCTTGGTATAAAGGAAGTTATCCAAGGCTGGGACAAAGGTTTGAAACAGATGTGTATAGGAGAGAAGCGCAAATTAACAATTCCTTCATCCCTAGCTTATGGAAAAGAAGGCAAAGGTAATACTTTCAGGTTCATAAAATCATATAATTATAAGATTATGGTTCATAAAATGATATATGCTACCAATATTTATCTCTTTACCCAGGTTACATAATACAATTGCATGGAAAGCACAACATCTTTATGTATCTTTTAATATATACTTACTTAGTCTGTGTTTATAGATTCAAAATATCTTGGAAAAACAACCATCTGAAACACCTCCAAATCAATCATGAGATGCTTTTAAAAAAGAAAGAAACATGCTTTGGCATGGCCTCCCAAAGTTAGAATCATACTGAACATCTTGGGGAAATCTCAGACATGAAGGATATTTGAGCTAGAAGTGTTCTGTAAGAAAGGAGGGGGAGGGGGGAATCCAAATGCAAGACCAAAAAGATTCTTAATTGGCTACAGGAGACTTTTGGAAGCAGTTATTTCTGCCAAAGGAGATGCTACAAAGTACTGATCAATAGACCTTCCAAACCTTCCATTGATATAAAGAAAATTATTTTTCTTATATAGGACTATACTGGTTCATATGTAACTTATTCTAATAAAATAACATCACACACACACATTCCCTTTTCATCCTTTGGGTATTAGGTATCTTCCTCAATCTTTGGTCCTCCACAGAACCCCTGGGAGTTTGTAGGTTCTATTCAGTATCTTAGCTTTTCCAAGCACTGCCTTCTTTTAGGTAGATTGTTCTGATGTTGGAATCTGTCATAGCGTCAAGTACCTCTATTATACTGGCTTTTATTTTCTACCTCCTCTCTCCTTCCTTCAGTCCTGGTACTTTTCCAGCTTCTCTACCACAGAAACAACTACAACAACACTTGCACCCACATATCTAACTGCTACAAAATCTCTTAGAATGCCTGCCTACTTACTACTAATCATTCTCGTAATTTGCCACCATCAGTTTAAGGTGCTGATGAAACTTTTAATGAAGAAACAGGCTATATAGTATGTTACTAGCAGAGTTACACAGAATAGCTTTCTTCTTAATTTAGG